TACCTCTCTAGCTGTGCTCGTTGTCGTCGAGGCGAAGAGACCTAACTAAAACATGCGAATGTGGTTCTCCAGCCTTGCAATCTGATACTGATGCTTATTGCAATGGACTGCAATGTGATACTGATGGAAAAGCCACAGTAGAAATTACCAAGCATGCTGCAATGTACACAACAACAGCAATGACAAGAGCTGACCTCGCAGAGGGCCTTCAGGAGGGGGGGGGGCCTTGAGGAGGGGGGGAGGCGGGGGGGCCAGCGTCTGCTTTATCGAGCAAAAGGGCGGGGGGGGCGGGAGGGCCCTCCCCCCCCTGTGGCCCTAAAAGTCCTTGATATATCAGGCAAAAGGGCCTCGGAGGGCCAATTTCTCCCCAAGAAAGACTTTGTAAACAACAACTCCCGCAAGCTCCAAGGAGCTAGCTTTCGTGACTGTGCTTAAAAAACATTCTGAGGCTAATGCGTTCAGTCACTCAAGACCTCACCTGCGTGACCTACCCGTTGCTTTCCGAAACAATGCGCCTGCTTCAAGTACAGCCGGGCCGAGGCGGACGACGCGAAGCGTTGAGAATATTTCTCCAGTGATTCGTAGCCCCCTTCAAGGATTCCGGCCTGCTCACCATCTCCGAAAGCTCTGCCTCAGAAAGCTCTCGACGGAGGCAGAACGAGCCCTAGCTGAATGACACCATTTCGCCCCTTTCATAGCTCCGAGCTGCGATCAACTTCTAAGAAGGAGTCCCAGCTTTGGCAGCTTGAAGAATCCAAGCACTTCGAGCCTGCTCTTCAGGCACTCGCTGGAAGATGTTCGGAACCAGAGGCGTGCCTCTGCAGCGGCTGGATGCACGGAACTGACACACCGACATATTACCTCGGCAATGAACTACACGAGCGAAAAAGTCGAAACCTAGTCCAGAAGCCACGATGCTTGGACTGCTCTAGTTCGCAGATTTGTAGTTGCGGAGCCGGCCGTAGCCTGCCTATGCTGTCGCAGCGTCGATCAACAAAAGATGAGCCCAGCAGCGCCCAGTGTCGCCGAAATCCACAAACCTGCACCTAAACAATTCAGATATAGATCTAGGTTGCCCGCCCACACTGGACCGCCGGAGAAGCGCCCCAGCAGTTGCCTGGATCCGACGGCGGGGGAAGAATAGATCGGAATCGAAAACTCAGTCGCAATAGGCAGATCGACACATGGCCCCCTTGATCTTGACGATCTCTACCGTCAAGATTTAAGAACGATGACCTGCGGCCCTTAAGCCAGGCAAGCTGGTGGCCCTTGTCCAAAACTCTGACCCCCGATCTTTGAACTGCAGCTTGGAGTTCTGCTCATACCGGTTGTACACCTCCCTTCGGCGAAGTCTTTACTACAGCGCGCCCACATATGCCATATGCTATAGATAACGTTCAAGTCATGGAATACCAGCCCATACTTTTCGCCGTGTACCCCACACTTTGGCTTAGAGCATCTTTCCCTCAGGGCCACACCGCTGCGGCAGACGGCATTTCAACAGCCAGGTCAATCAAAGACAGCATGTCACCTGGAGTCTTCGAAGCTTTCCCCCTTTGAAGGATGAAATTGGTACTTAGGGGCATCGTTGTATGCATTTATTTTTTCATTTAACTGTTCTACAACGAAACGGGCCCATAACGCCTCAATCGCTCGAAGCTCCAGACTCGGTGGATTGTACTGTCTGACCCACGTGTGCGATGGCTCAGCCCGCGACCGGTGGCTATTCGGTGTCCTGACAGAGCAGTGGCTCCCAGAACTTCCACCTTTAAGCTGCCCAGTTGAACTGCATCCTGCGCATTTACCCGGTCACGACACTGAAAACTCACAACACCCATGCGCCGAGCTTAAGACATCGGTGCAGGAGGCTGACATTCCGAAACGCATGGACGTAGCGGCCTTGGTGATCTGACAATGGGGATGCCGAACCTGGCGAGTCCAGGGCACGATCCTAAGAAGAGGTGTTGAACCTGGTATTGGATCGCAAATCAATCGTGCTGGTCCATGTGCTATGTACCTGCTTGTTCATCTGCGCGTGCTGTATGTATGTCCTGGGGCCTTGTGCCTGACATCTTCATGCCCGACTGCCAAAGGCCTGACATTATCAATCGAGGCTAGTCTGAACCAATTAGGACTACAGGAACCTGTGTTCACCAACCATCATCAACTTAGTTTTCAACAGCCGGTTCGTAAGCACAGGCATAATCATGGATGAACAGGTACATTAATTGCACGGTTCTAGTACCTCGAGCGCGACATCGTCCTACCAGATTACGGCTTGGCTACACATCCGGAAGAAGACTTGTGAATAGCCCCCTGCACCAGCCCTCTGCCAACCTCCAAACTAGGCTCCTTCAGATTGCTGCCAAACAATCCATCCACACAAAAATCCGATCCCAACCTTGTCTGAGCCTTGCAACAACACCATGAAACCGTAGATTCTGGATAAACCTCCCGAAGCTTTCAAAACCCGACAGCCCGCTTTGGGACTACACTACGTGACCGACAAGAGGCTCCTTCTTGCTTGAAAGATCGGCTACAATCACCAGGTCCCCTGATCCTATCAGCATCTTCGGTGAAAGACTGGATGCCCTACCCCAATGACATCTCTCCCTTCACCGAAATCTCTTGCCAAGACACCGAGCTGCCAAGCCGCCGCATCTCTCTGCATGGACTGAAAGACCTAAAGACTTCTTGTGGGAGCTAGGGTCACGACCCGACGACTGGTCGAAGGCGGAGGCTTGTTCTGCTGACAGGTCATGACTGCTGTGATAGTCGGGCCGAAGGACTAGCACAAGCACAATCGTAATGATGTCGATTCTCTTGCGGACAAGCGAAACTGCAACTCCCTGAACCCCGGAACCAAAGCCTCAAACCTCTGATTTCCTGCCTCGAAGGCACGGCAGACGTCTGCTGCGCCGACCTCTGCCTCGTAAGAAGTTACATTCCACTGATGGTTTCGGGTTTAGGAGTTTAGGAGTTTAGGAGTTTAGGAGTTTAGGGGTTTAGGGTTTAGGGCTTGGAAAATCGCTGGGAGTTACAAGTAGGCCTGAAGTATAATAGATATATACGGGACGGCTAGTGGTTGCCTCCGATACTTGCATCCCCATCCTATGGCTAAGCTTTGCAACGGGCACCGACGAGATTTTGGGATCGAGCCCCGCACACTAACGACTTGTAAGTACAGAGCCACCTTGCCTGTTTGCCCCCACTGCCCCGCTGCCTTTGCAACATTGGGACCGAGGCAATTACAATGTTTACATCGTTCCGATTCAAACCACAAGATATCTAGGGCGGACATGACTATTCACTGGAAGAACGAAACCAAGCAAACCTACGGATTCAGTCATTAAAACGCTAACATCGACCCAAGAGTTTGATTCGTAGAAACATGGCCTGTCTGCGTGTTAGTTGTTGTCGGATCACATCATACAGCCGGCTGCGTGAGGTTCAATCCAAGCGGCTGCCAGAATCTCGGGTGTCTCCCCGTCACCATTCACCATGCTCGCGATGTTAGCCGAGCGGTCGTTGGACTGCATCAGAGCTGTTTTGCATGTCCCTAAAAGGTCGTGCTAGTGGTCTTCCGAAGCTGGCGCCAAGGTACGTGCAAAACCGAGATGCAACGCAAGACCGGCCTGAATGCGGTCCAGAAGCAGCAAGGCCGAGAGAAGGCTCCCGCTTTGCGCTGCTTTGTGCAGTGGGATGTTGCCTGGTGGCATTTCTTCATCGTAGACGTAGACATAGTGGGAGTGAGTAGTAGTCGTCGTCGTCGTAGCAGTAGTAGCAGCAGCAGCAGCAGCAGCAGCAGCAGCAGTAACAGCAGTAGTAGCTTAGAAGTAGTAGTAGCAGTAGTAGTAGTAGTAGCAGCAGCAGCAGCAGTAGTAGTAGTTGTTGTTGTCGTCGTCGTAGTAGTAGTCGTAGTAGCAGCAGGAGGAGGAGGAGTAGTCGTAGTACTCGGTGGCAGCAATAGAAATAGCAATAGTAATAGCAACGGTAGTGGTAGTAGCAATAGCAATGCGAGTGGTAAGAGTAGTGATGATGGCAATCGGAACTGGTAATTGCAAGAGTAGTACTAGTGCTAGAAATCGCAATACCAATAGTAGTAGCAACAGTGATAGTAATAGTAATAACAATAATCATAGTAATAGCAATAGTAGTAGCAATAGTAATAGCAATAGTAATAGCAACAGTGATGGCAATAGTAATAGTACTAATGTTAGTATTTGTATTGGTATCAGTATTAGTATGAGGACAAGTATTGGTGTTAGGATTGGCATTGCCCTGAGTATAAGTATAACTAACAGTACGTATTAGTATTAGCATTAGTGTTAGT